CTGTTTGGATTCAAACGCTCTTTAAATAGTCTCGAAAATGCTGCGGGCATGGGTGGTTTCCTTTCAAGGTATCACGTGGTGTCCTGGTGGAGAACCAACTCTGCAGTGCTGGAAGAACTACAGAAGTAGGATGGCTAATTAGTCAAGAAAAAAGAAAAAGAGATGAAGCTCTCACGGCGTGGAAATGAATGATTTGTTGAATGAAGTGGCTGAGGAAAAAAGAACAGATAACTCGAGTAGCAGAGTATCAATAGAGTTGTGTTTTAGGGGCAAGCCATCGCCCATCGACAAAAGGGTTCATCAAGACAAGCTGGGGAGAATGGAATTGGTGTTGTCTGCCATCACATGCACGTGTTCCGATCCTTGGGCTGTGTCCGCATTCTATGGAAGGGCGTGACAGTCGCAGACAAAAGAACAGACTTTAAATCTCTCTATAGGATCAGAAGCCAGCAATGAAAAATGTTAAAAGAAGCTACATATATCTGTGTGATCTTAAGTGCGTAAGAAGGCGTGGGCGTGCGTATTTAAATGCCGACATATATTATTATCCTAATTTACACTAAGTGTGCATCTAGGCATGGTATAATTATCATTTTTTTCTGAACGATGTTGTGGGGGACGGAGGGAATAAAGTATTTGAACTCATTTTTCAGTTAGTCCATGCCGTTCGCAGGTGACTGTCATGTCTGCCCACAACCTTCTGGCACTAACTGCAAAACATTTTGGACAGAGATGTCCCTCTTTGCACTGACGCCACATTGCTGTCAAATACCACATTTCATGAATTACAAACTGTGTTGCAATGGTAGTATATTATGAATAGTATGGTTGTAGTAGTAATAGTGGTAGTAGTAGTGGTGGTAGTAGTAGTAGCAGTAGTAGTAGTCGTAGTAGTAGTAGTAGTAATAGTAGTAGTAGAAGTATTAGTAGTAGTAGCAGCAGCAGTAGTAGTAGCAGCAGCAGTAACAGTGGTAATAGCAGTAGCAGCAATAGTAATGTAATAGTCGTAATATAGTAGTAGCAGTAGTATAGTAGCAATAAAAGTAGTAGCGGTAGTAGTAGTAAAAGTAGTAGTTAAGTAGTGGTAGTAGAAATAGTAGTAGTAGTATAGTAGTATTATAGTAAAAGTTTAGTAGCAGCAGTAGTAGTAAGCTAGTAGTAGTAGAGTAGTATCATAGTAGTATTAGTTATGTATTATTAGTAGTAATGTAGTAGTAGTAGTTATAATATAGTAGTAGCAGTAGTATAGTAGCAGTAATAGCAGTAGAAGTAGTAGTAGTAGTAAAAGTAGTAGTAGCAGCATAGTATTAGTAGTAAAACATTATTAGTATTATGAGTATTATTAGTTTACTAGTAGTAGCAATAAATTAGTAGTACTAGTATTAGTAATAGTATAGCAGTAGTAATATTTGTAGTAATAGTAGTAGTATACCAGTAGTTAAGTAATACAGTATAGTAGTAGTATTAGTAGTAGTATAGTAGTAGTTGATAAGTAGTAGTAGTAATAGTGTAGTAGTAAAGTAGTAACATAGTAGTAGTACAGTAGCAGTAGTAATGTAGTAGTAGTGATAGTAGCAGCAATAACAGCAGTAGTAGTAGCAGTAGCTGCAATAGTAATGCAGTAGTAGTAGTAGCAGCAGCAGCAGTTGTAGCAGTAGCAGTAGCAGTTTTAGTAGTAGTAGTAGTAATGTAGAAGTAGTAGTAGCAGTAGTAATGTAGAAGTAGTAGTAGCAGTAGTAATGTAGAAGTAGTAGTAGTAGTAGTAGTAATGTAGAAGTAGTAGTAGCAGTAGTAATGTAGAAGTAGTAGTAGCAGTAGTAATGTAGAAGTAGTAGTAGCAGTAGTAATGTAGAAGTAGTAGTAGCAGTAGTAATGTAGAAGTAGTAGTAGTAGTAATGTAGAAGTAGTAGTAGCAGTAGTAATGTAGAAGTAGTAGTAGCAGTAGTAATGTAGAAGTAGTAGTAGCAGTAGTAATGTAGAAGTAGTAGTAGCAGTAGTAATGTAGAAGTAGTAGTAGTAGTAATGTAGAAGTAGTAGTAGCAGTAGTAATGTAGAAGTAGTAGTAGCAGTAGTAATGTAGAAGTAGTAGTAGCAGTAGTAATGTAGAAGTAGTAGTAGCAGTAGTAATGTAGAAGTAGTAGTAGCAGTAGTAATGTAGAAGTAGTAGTAGCAGTAGTAATGTAGAAGTAGTAGTAGCAGTAGTAATGTAGTAGTAGTAGTAGTAGTAGTAATGTAGAAGTAGTAGTAGCAGTAGTAATGTAGAAGTAGTAGTAGCAGTAGTAATGTAGAAGTAGTAGTAGTAGTAGTAATGTAGAAGTAGTAGTAGTAGTAGTAATGTAGAAGTAGTAGTAGCAGTAGTAATGTAGAAGTAGTAGAAGCAGTAGTAATGTAGAAGTAGTAGTAGCAGTAGTAATGTGGAAGTAGTAGTAGCAGTAGTAATGCAGAAGTAGTAGTAGTAGTAATGTAGAAGTAGTAGTAGCAGTAGTAATGTAGAAGTAGT